CTTTTTCAAATATTGTTTAATCCAAACAACTGAATGAACTCAGAATAATTTCAATTTTTATATAAATAAACTATACAAATCTACTTTTAAATTTTTCATACATATCTCAGCATCATCGAATCCCACCAACCGCCTGAATTTTAAATTCAAAGTTGTACGAAAATTCTTATTTTTGAAGCGAAGAACTGAATTCGCTACAAAGCGATTTAAATATGGCGATAACCATTTTTATAATATGTTGTCACAGCCGCCATTACAATTCTATTTCACTTGCGCAAAGCATACTCAGCATGTAGAACACGTGTTTTCTCCAATTTGATTTGGATTAATTATAATAAATTTCATAAATACGTTATATACGCTGCCAATAAATATCAAGCATAAAAATCGTGAAAATTGCACTTTGCTACCAAATCAAAAGCCAATCAAGCTTTCAACCATAAAGCTTTCACCGAAAAACAAGATCATAACAGCAGCAACAAACGATACAATAGATTCAGACTTATCACGACTTTATTAAGGTAAGATTTACATTGGTGATGAAAAAACACTCTTAATTTTAGGAACTTGTAGTCCATGTTGTTTATGTGTGCGTTTGTTGAAATAAAAAATCAACGTTATCGAAAAATCAGGATAGCGTCTGATATGGCAAAATTCTTAACCTTAAAAATAATTTGTTCTAGAACATTGATCACGTGGCCAAATTAAATTTTGATTCTATGAACTAAGCGTGCTAATCAAAATTGGAAAAATGACTTATCTCTTAATTTGAACGAAATATTTATTTGACCTTTTGAGACTTTTTGTTTTCTTTCTAAATTAGATGAATGAAGCAACATTAATGGACTGGAAAAACGAGATGAGCAAAATGCTTGCTGGATTCGAGCGTCAAGCAAATCATACTCTGGGCATAATTAAGTTGGCTTTCAAGCGCAATGGTTTGTCATTTGATCCGAATTTTAAGCATTACTTTCTACGAGCATCGAATGAGCGGTACTTATATAACTCCATATTTCAATCACAAGAACTCTTTGCTTTTCAACCTTTCCTAATATGTATACTTTTAACAGATTAATAACCACCTACCATCAATTCGAAATTGATATACAGCTTGAAGAACAGATGATCAATTGTACTCCTGTAGGAGCTATAAACTCAGTCAGGGATCAAATTGAAGACAAAGACTCAATTCCAAAGATTTATGTAATCGAAATCAATGATTCAAGTGATGAAGAAGGCACCAGAGGAAACATCACGAACAATTGTAATAATACTTTGGCTTCTGTTCGCTACAAGCACCATGCAACCATGGGAAATAGCACGTTGACAAAAAGGACCAGTGATCGCAATGAATCTCGCATTGGTTCAACAACAATCCAAACACGACGATTCGATAAGGAATTAAGTTCATTCGCTGAAGATCGTCAGAATGAATCAAGTGCTTTTGAAAAAAAATTCCAAACTATGGCAGACAATCGCCAGCAGACTAATCAACACCGAGCAATAAACAGATCGGGAAGCAATTTTAATCGTGTTACCAGGGACAATATGCTAAGGACTTTAGCTGAAACAAATCAAATCGCCAGTTTTGGAAATGTCCCAATTTTTGATCAGTAAGATTGAGTTTCAACATTTGTATGAATGTTCACACATAATTCCAATTCTAATTCTTCTCTTCTTTCTTCAGGCGTATTAAGATCGAAAGCACAAGTTCAATTGACTCATCAACAGGAACATACGGTGTCCCCTTCATAATTAACAAATCCAACCTCCCTTTTGATGACAATTTAGTTGTTGAGTCGACTGAAATTGTCTCCAATGAACGACGAAATGAAGCCAGAAGTGAAAGAGCACAGATATTGAAGAATAAATCACGACCATCAATTCCATCAAATCAGATGGAAATTAAGAAGCGATTCAAGTGCAACGTTTGTGAATATTCCAGCAATGACAAGGGAAATCTCAAAAAACACACGCGTTCCCACACCGGCGAGAAGCCGTATCAGTGTGATATTTGCCGCAAAGGATTCATAACCCGGCAAAGCATGAAGAAGCACAAAGTGACTCATACTGATGAAATCCCGTTCCATTGCCGAGGTTGTTTCAGTGGATTTTCTCAGAAGACCGAAAGAGACGTCCATGAAAAAGTGTGCAAATATCGTCGATATGAATGCCATATCTGCAAGAACTTTTTCAATGTGAATAAAACTCAGTTGAAATTGCATATGCGAAAGCACAACGGTGAAAAACCGTCCCGATGCGAGATTTGTATGATGCGTTTTACGGCAAAATCTAGCCTGAAAGTACATTTGGACACTATCCACACCAGAAACAATCATTGAATAATTACATTCACTAGTTACATTCCCAACATTCATATCAATTTGCTTTCTTTTCAAAACTTGAAATTCAAACATTCGTCTTAACTGAAACTTAAACCGAGAAAAGTTTAATATGCAGGCATTAAAAACGATTTGATTTAATACAAATATAATCATTTACATTCAACGTATGCCAGATTAAAACATTGAATTATGGTTTTTGTTGATATATTAAGTCATATCACTTTTTCAAATATTGTTTAATCCAAACTACTGAATGAACTCAAAACAATTTCAATTTTGATATAAATAAACTATATTTTCAATCATTATAACTTTTAAAACTTCTTTTAAATTAGACCATTCCATGTATCTCAGCATCGTCGAATCTCACCAACAGTCTGAATTTTAAATTGAAAGTTGTGCGAAAATTCTTATTTTTGAAGCGAAGAACTGAACTCGCCACAAAGCGATTTGAATGAGGCGAAACACATTTTGACATCTTATCTCATTATAATTTTATTTCATTTGCGCAAAGCACTCGTAGCATGCAGAGCACGTGTTTTCTCCAATTTGATCTTGATTAATTACAATAAATTTCATTAATATTCGCTGAAAATAAATATCAAGCATAAAAATCGTAAAAATTGCGCTTTGCTACCAAATTAAAAGCTAATTCACTTTTCCACCATAAAGTTTACAGCGTGAAGCAATAGTTAGAATAGATCCAGACTGATCGTAACTTTATTAAGGTAAGTGTTACATTGGTGATGAAAAAAACTCTTAATTTAAGAACCTATTATTCAACGATGATAAGGAACTAGTATATTCCATGTTGTTTATGTGTGCATTTTTTGAAATAAAAAATCACTGTTATCGAAATATCAGGAAAGCGTCTGATACGGT